CATTACCAAATTTACAATTGTTGCTGCTATGGGAGAACCCATTGTTACTCCATATATCTGTGAATAGAACTTGTTTTCGTACTGGAAATATGTGGATATTAAACGCAAATCTACCGCCTCAATAAATTCTTTTTCGGGTAATTTTTTTTTCGGGGTTTGCTTAATAATACGATTTTGAAAATCAATTGATGCCTATCAGTAGTACCTAATGAGCGGGGATGGAATGGAAGACCTGCCCTCTTTAACTTAATCAGGAAAAAGATACTAGATACTAGTGTCGATAAATCCAAAATTTCTCCATCGTGTTTACCGACAAGTCTCAAATTTGGCAGGAAAAATCATTTTTAGAACATTTGGTTTGCAAAACATTTTCCTTTTAAACTACAGGGCGGTCATAATATCCATTCCATTTGTGTTTTTTTAAGCTCAAAAAGCTCACCTTTTTAAGTGGAATACCCCATAAATTGTTACCGTGCTTGGGGTTCACTAACCCTGTATTGTGGGTTTAATAAACACAACCCAGGTTTTAACCGACATTAATCGCACTACTATTTACCCTTGATTGAACAGCTTGTTTACTAACTAAAATACGTCGCGCTGCTTTCTATGGCCGTTGAGCAATACTCGAATATTCTGGATCAATTATGGAACATTGATGAGTAAATCTTGGCTTGAGAAGTTAAAGGTAGTATTTTCCATGAATCGAATTTTCTAACGTTCATGCTGTTATTGAAGATACCGGTAAGTAGAAGAGTGAAAAGGTTTAATTAGAGATTGATCTCGCTCTTCGTTGGTGATGAGCGAGACTCGTCTTGATCTTGATCTTGCAAAAAATGCACGACTAAGACTAAGACTGTATTTGATTTGCAAGACCAAGACCAAGACTATAAAATGAAGTTTATTGTGTATGTTTGTACATTAACTAAATTCTGTATGCAAGAACAAGACCGTGTCCTGCAAGACCAAGACTTTTTGTAGTCTCAAGTCTCATCAAGACGGTAATCCGATACTGAACCGCATCAAATCGAAACTTGTAGATCTTAAATAAGATGAATAAGAAAAATGGACCGTTTTAAAAGCTTAACCGAAAACTTTAAATGAGAAACGTGAAAAGCTCTAAGCAAGTGTCACATAAATAAAACAATACGTACTTAACATGTGATTGATTCCAGATGTTTTCCCTTTTCTTTCAGATTAACTAAATCGGGGGTAGCTGATATAAATATTTGCAAAATAAAGTTAGTTGTCGATATTTCCTACGCATAATTGCTTATTGATCGACATAATTAATGGTTTGTGATTTTCTGTTTGTCCAAGTACAAGCTGAGTTTGTCTCATAGAATAGCCCTTTTGACTGTAGCTGAATAGGGTGTTCCGTAAATATGTTATAATATTTTAACAGCGTGTTCTCCTAGTCATTTTAGAGGGGGGTCTTCCTGAGATTTTTTTAAATTTGAGGTCTCATTTTTGAAATATTTGATCTCCAAAATGGCGAAAAATATTAGCTTCTGTTGTTTTCCTTTAAAAAAGTTAAACATAGAAACTTGAATTTTGGTACACATTATAAACTAATTGAGTGTCATTCTATGGTAGTGTTTTGTAGTTCAGTTTACTCTTATACAGGGTAGAAATGTGGAACTCCTACTTTTGTTTTGTTCAGAACTTTTTTGTGTGCACAATCAACATAATTTTTTTAATTACTACAAGTTATTTATCAACTTTTTTACCTCTCATTGTTTTTTCTTAAGGGCACTAGTTTGCCCGCAAAAAATTAAATCGTTTCGGCTTGGTTAAAACTCGCCTCCTAGACCTCCCGATCTAAACGCGTTCGATTTTTACTTCTGGGGCCATTTGAGAAATACGGTTCATTCAACAGAAGTGAATACAATCGAATAACTTTAGGAAAGAATATTTAATATTTCTAGAGAAATAAGAACTTCAGTGCAAACTTTACGGTCCGTAAATTTTAATTTCATTCAAAGACTGCTGCTAAGTTAACATTAGAATGGTTATTTAAATTTCATTTTGCTTGTTTATATCGTTGCGCATATTGTTACCATGTTTTTACCAAGTAACATTTATTCAAACTTAATAATTGTAATCTGAACCAAAATACACAATTTATTAAAATAATTTAGGTTGTTAGTAATCAACTAATAATGCGTACCAAAATTGTTATATGAAAACGTTATTAAATTTTTAAAATTAACTTAATTACTTACAGATTTTGAGAACGGCAACGAAAACGATTTTATTTTTTGCGGGCAACCTAGTGGTCTTAGGAAAAAACAATAAGAGATAAAAAAGTTGGTAAATAGTAATTAACAAGATTGTGTCGAGAAAAGTTTAAGTGGACACAAAAAAGTTCTGAACAATACAAAAGTTGGGTTCTACATTTCTACTCTGTATAAAAGCAAACTGAACCACGAAACACTACCATAGAATGGCACTCAATTAGCTTATAATGTATACCAAAATTTTCTATGTTTAACCGTTTTAAAGGCAAACAACGAAAACTAATATTTTCCACCAGTTTGGAAATCAAATACTTAACTCAACAACGAAACCTCAAATTAGGAAAATTCTCAGGAAGACCCCCTTCTTCAATGACTAAAAGAACACGCGCCGTTAGAATATTTTAACATATTTACGGAACACCCTATATATTTCAATTATGTAGTATTTAATTATAATTTCCTTAATATCAATTTATCTTTCTTTAGTATCTATTTATCATTTGCAAACGTTTAATTGGTTTTGCTCAATACCCGTCTAAGACGAAATGGGTACTATTGAAGTGAATATATCTTACCCTATACAGGATGTTCTATGAAAATAGGCTGCTATAACTTGAAAAATACAATCCAAGACTATGTACGCAAGAAYAGACAAGAWTTGCACGGTCTTCGYCTTGGTCTTGCTTTGCTCATCACTACTCTTCATAACTGAAAAACTCATGGAAACTCCYAAATATTTTCTATTAAAKTGCGTTTTTCAGCKWAYTTTMGCTTGGGAATCATATTATGAGCCGAATTGAAGGATTTTTGGTTTTAACAAATCGSTGTTGCCCAACGACCATTCGCTTCGAWTCAGTATTCGAAWARGCCTGGAWWCTCCCAGAAATTTACTTTWAMGTGTGAYTTWCCACYCTTAAAGCAGAGCATTTTCTCTTTCGAGTGAACTTTTGGGACGGATTGTGGGATTTTTGGCTTTTTCTGRTAWAATTTTTGAAAAATATGTGTTTKCCAACGGCMAATCSCCYTGCCTTAGTAACTGAACAAAATACTRGAAAYTCTSGGAAATTTCCTATTAAAGTGAGTTTTTCCACACTTAAAGCCCCRGACTTYTTCTTTYGAGTTATATTMTGGGCCGTAYTGAGAAATTKTTRGTTTTTCYTTGGCGAATWTTTGAAAAATCCGTGTTGTCCAACGACCCATCGCTTCATTTGAGGATCTKAAAAAATCCTGAAAACTCCCAAAAATGTCCTGCTAAAGTGAGGCTTTCTTCATTTAAAGCTACAGATTGCCTCTTTCGAGTRATATTCAGGGCAGGCTTGAGAAAGTTTCATTATTTTATTTATCTCATTATAAAACCATCGTTATTTATTGGTCAATAAATCGGGRAAAAGTGCGGTATCAAAGATAGCGCGAAATCACGGACCGACTTAGGAACACAATCCACTTTTCTTAGAGYSGGTTAATTTRAACGACAAGTTTTTCGCTTGGAATGAACGAAAATCGGCAACRCAATCCGAAAATATTCGATTGCGACAATGAACACTTTGCAGATGTTTTCCTGTTCTAAAAAAACATAACACAGTTTGTCGGTGGTCCGGATCAGGTGTTTCCTATCCTCCTCGTTCCTCTGCTCAGAAAAAAACCCCAGAAAAACTTAAAACAACATAACCCGAGACACGGTATTGAATTTCGTGCGAAAGCCACACACAGACCCGCCAGAACCTCGAAATTATCAGAACGTTGTTGATCTAATATCGTGTGACTTTTCGAATGGGATTTTCGAAAATGAATCTCGTATCAATATGTACTTACTTCACATAGTCGCGTTTGCAGTAAGTTTTGCCGTCCTTAACAAAGCATGTGCAGCTCTCATCCAGAAACATGTGGCATTCCTGGCATTTCAGGCAGGCAGCATGCCATTCCAGATCAGGTGCCACTCGTAGTATGTATTGGTCGTGAATTTGACTACCGCACCCCATGCAATGGCTTAAACGGCGTGGCTTTTCTGCAATCAGACAAAACAAAGGTCAACATTTGTTAAATGGAGTCCAACAAGCAAATAATCGTCAACAAAGTCCATCTGGATCATTCAGAAAACCGTCGAGCAACGTTTGTTGTTCTGAGGTTTGCAACTGTTGTTGACCGATAAAAATGCCCTTAATAGATTCCCATCAATTTTCTAATGACGATTTAACTAAATTGAGCAATTTAAACCAATTACTGAAACATCGTAATAGTATGCCAGATACCGGTCGCTGCAAGTAAAGTATAGATCCACTTTTTTTCATAAATTATTTTATGGCTTTATAAATACGCTAAATTGCCCTTTAATAAGCTCGCCACACTTGTGCGGATTTACTTGGCAAGAATAAACAGCTTTTAATTGAAACATACGAGTTGAAAATCTTATTAGAATATTGAATTGGAAATTTTTTTGCGTCGCTTGATTTTATTAGACCGTTTTCAGCGCGAGTTGCACTATGGTGTAATGTAAAGAATAGAATATTTTAAATCGCGTCTTTTAAGAAGAAAAAAAATTGCTCAAGCACGGCAACTTTAATTCTATTAATTGATTTCTTGTAAATTACGTCATACTGATTTTTTTTCAAAAATTCGACTAACTGCATAGAAGAATTTTAAATAACCCATTGATCGCAAACCAATATATTTTTGATGTAATGGTTTTCTCTAACTACTTATTTAATATACATATTTTTTATATGATATGATGCATATTTTTCTCTACAAATTTGGTAACACCACTCTTTGGTCACAAATGAGTTTTTTACTGTTCGGTAGTTTGGGTTACATTTTTTTAAACTTCAAAACTGTGCGTTTATTGCCTATATTAATAAGCGAAAATTGGTCAAAACCCACGTTAGATGCTGCTCTTTAATCAACTAGCTAAATTTTTGATCTAAGCTCTCGTATATTGACTTTAACTGATATTTATCGAAGAGTATGTAGGTACTAAAGACAATAAAAGCAAAACTTTTTATATAAGTTAACAAAAAGAAATAACTTAATTCTATATAGGTTAACAAAAAAAAAACAAGAAAATAATATTAAGAAGTTAAAAATTTGAGAATGACAATGTAAATTAACTCAAGTTGCAGCTTCGCTGAGTCCAAAGTTATCATTCGGTTTGATCAATACAGCTTCAATCTAAAGTCGCAAAGTTCACAATACAGATATATTCTTTACTTAAGATGTGTAATTTTCTTAATAATCTCTTTAATAACACAGTTTATTAGTGGCGTTTTTTGGCAGAAATTAGGTTTTCCACCATTTTTGCTCGTTAAAATTGTCAACTTTTCCATAAGATAACAAAGGACGCCTACTGTCTGCACTCCAAACACCTCCCACCCACAATGCATACTCTACACTATAACAAGTTGCCAATTTCTCGTTTTGGGGGCAAAATCTGCCTAAATTTCTCAAAAAAAAAACAGGCATTAACAAAAAGGTATCTACATGCGATTTTAAAAAAGCCCATATTAACCGAAACCAGCTCAAATATCACCAAAAGTATGAAAAAGAAGTCAAGTGTAAACAAAATATCAATTAAAAATAACAAGCAAATAACCTGTATCAACCCAAATATCAAATATACACGTGGCAAATGCGCTAACATTTTCGAATGACGATGACATCAGTGTGACAGACAGCGTAAACGTGTTGGATTTCTTTGTTAACTTATGAAAAATAGTGAATTTTAATGAGTGAAAAGTGATCGAAATCCGCATGTACAAGAAACACCACTGAGAAAAGTTGTTAGTGAAAGCGATTATCTACAAGGTAAGCACATTTTTAACATTGAACGTGCGAGGGATGTAACTTTGAAAACTACAAAGAATTCTTCAATTGGAGCACAGGAATATGGTTTTGTTGCAAATTGTATCAATTGAACTTTATAAAATGTTCTTAAATCCGACGGGAATCATAGGCGTGACACTCGGGCTCTAAATATGCGAAAGTTACCACTTTTGTGTCAATGTCTTAATATGGTTTTTCAAATTGCAAAAACTTTGATAACGAAAAAGGGATATTCTAGATTTGCATGATACTTTTTTACCATGTAAAACATGTAAAAAACCCTTACACAAAAAACATACTAAAACCATTTTTCTCAATTTTCACTTTTTAAACATTTTCGCCCATTTAATTCTGTGCCCTAAATCACCATCAGTATGCAAAATATCAACTATAACTTCAAATACAATAAAGTAAAGAAATTAAACCCATTACTGTTGCCAGCATACAATTTTTGCTTCAAAGTTTGACAAAGTGAGACATTTTGGGGCTTCTACATGAAGCGTTTTGACCAAACGCTTATGTATGTAAGCATAGGTACGGAAATGCTTTCTTTTCGGCCGGTTTTCGGGATTAACTTCATAATATTTTTGTCGATGATCGAAATACCACTTGACACGCAACAAATGAAAAGACAGAGCGACGAAAATACCGAGAAGATTAGCCTCCGGTGTTCGCTGCGTCAAATATCGGGTAACAAACGTTGATTTTCCGAGAATTAGGCACAATAGATAGTAAATTAGATAATAGAGTCGAGTGAACACAGAGCCACCGGTGGCAAACCAAACATTAGCCATTCTTGTGTAGTGTATTCATCGACGTAATAAATAACCAAAAATACCCTGTCAATAATGAACAGAAACATCCAGCAGCCAAATCCTCTTAGAAAAGCCCCTGAGATAGTGAAAAGCTATGAAGATGAGCCTACTTCGAGAGATGAGCGTCTGTAGCAGGCCGGCTGCCGATAAGAGCGGCGCCATGGGCCCCAAAGAATGCACCAGCATGGAGCTTTTAGTCGGGGATTATACAACCTGATTACTTTGGGGATATTAAAAATACCACATAACGATAATAATTTGAATAGCTTCATTAACGTCAGCTAACAGATTTGTGAAATTCCGCGGCACGTTTAAATTGGCGGCGGCCTCAACGTTGACCGGATCTGAGATCTAGTGATTTTCCTTCAATTAGCACTTATTAGATGGGATACATTAATGTTGTTATTAGCCGTAAATTTTGTCACCAATTGAGTCTTAATTCTACACAGGGTGGCTTAGTTTCGGACATCATAGTTATTTGTATGTATAAGTAGTTATAGTCTGCCCAAGCTGTTTGGCAGTGATGCAATTATTGTGATTCTTTTTATATTATTTGTCCATCGAGCAACACAGAAATTGATGTTATGTACGTATGTCTTTCATCAATTTGTTACAATTCGCGGAAGTATATAAGAATATTACCATTATTGATTTTATTTCAATATCAAAAGGCGAGTGTTCGAAGTTTCTGTGAATTTTTCTAGTTATCATTTCAATTTACCGATACATTTTTTATTTGTGTGTGTGTGTGTGATTTTGCGTTTTATTCGCGTTATTGATTGTTAATATTCTAGTATCTAGCAGAGGTCTACATAATATTGCTTTGCATATTTTAGTGGCAGTTTTTTCTATCATACTTTTTTTGTCTCTTGGTTCCTTAGGTATTGGAAGAGTATTTTTCGTTTAGTGAAACTTTTCAATATATTTCGTTCGTGTTTAGTGGGTTTCAAATCATTTTTGGTCACGATAATTCCTCGGTAGGTATATGTTATCTTCCTTTGGATGTGAAGATAATGCGGGCACTCATTTTGCTATTTATCTTAACCTACTTTTTGCTTCTATTAGTTTGGCTCAATTTGTCGAGCAAATGTACAGAGTGATTCAATTCCCAGATGTAAAAGAACTTACCACTAATTAACACTCTATAGAAATGTCAATATGAACGTATATTTAAAATTGCTTCTTCATCTTCGTTTGCAGGCTACATGGAGTTCAAATTAGACATTGTATTTCTTTGGTCACTCTTGCAGTTTTTCAAATATTGACGTCAGATTGAGAAGGTACGAATGATTATAAACACTTTGAATAATTTAATTTTACTTTATTCACGGTAAGTGATAAGCGTTTATTGCGCTAATTGCACATTAATGAACTATTTTACTCACAAAATATTTGAAGACCTTTCGTCTCTTTGAATATCGGATTCAAATTTGATCCTCCTGTGCATGTATAGATTTTTAGCCATACAACTTTATAGATACTTTTAGTTCATGAGATTTCATATGAGTAACGTAGACACAATGAACACTGTCAATGTGAGAGTTTATTAATATTTTAATATTTCACATCGTTGCACTCAAAGACGCTTTAATGGCCAAGGAGGCCATAAAATACCGAAGCTTTTAACTTTTATGAACTGTAAGTAACTACGCATTTATTTCAAATCACATTTACAATTATTCCAATGGTATTCTTGGTTTTGGAAATTCTAATGGGTTGGTCGTTTATACCTACGAGTATTTGAGGATGGACTAAACTGGATCCAAAATTCGATCCTATCCAAAACCCGACATAATTAAATTAAAGCTTTTTTTGGATAAGTTTTGTCCACCGCCTTGCTTGGCCGGGCTTGCGTCCTTTCAATTCCTTTTCAATAAAAACCTGAAAGTTTTGCGTAAATGGTAAGCCGATATGTAAGGAACTTGTAACCCTCCAAGTAGGTGTATGTTTTGTTGATTTACCTGTAATGCGGCAATAGTGATTATTTACTTAATTTAATGATTGTGGCCTTCCATTCCACTTTACTGCGCATTTTTCTTCTGTGCTCAATTTGCCAATCACGAACATTTTTGGTGAGGACATGAACTTTAAACAATTCCCACTGAAATGTTTGCCTAATTTTCTATGTATTTCTTTCTGGGCTAGTGTTTGATTGAAAATACTTAAGCCCGGCCCTTTTTTGAATTTGTTTTTGTACTTTGATTGCTTATTTAGTAGGCTCATTTTCCAAAAACAGTATCTCTAGCCTACTTTCGTTCAAACTTGAATATTGCTAACGCTCCTGAAAGTGGTGAAAGTTTGCTGGCGATTTATCATTTGGAAATCCTCAAATCAACATGAATTTATTTATAAGATACATGGATTTCGTGGTTAG